TTGGAGTCTCACCACAGCCTCGACCTGCTGGGCTCCGGCGATCCTTCCACCTCAGTCTTCCAAGTAGCTGGAACTACAGGCACACACTATCACACCTGGCTGATTTTTGATTTATTGTAGAGATGAGGTCTCGCCAAGTTGCCCAGGTGGGTCTTGAACCCGCGGGCTCAGGCAATCCACTCACCTTAGCCTCCCAAAGCGTGGGATTACAGGCTGAACCACCGAGCCCGACTTGAATGTGTATATTTTGAATAGATACTAATGGCATAACAAATGAGGTTGGAGTGAAACAAAATAGTGTAACTAATCTAGAATTCCCTGAATTAGGAATTATATATACAGGTAGCCCTTAGGGCTCAAATTAAGGATAAATCAATTACACCATACACATTCTCTAAATGTGTTAGCTAATTTGTGTGTAGGGGAGTCATTTTTCTGTTCTGTACCCACTGTTTTTCTTCAGATATAATGGGCAAACCAGGGAAAACTAAATATAGTCAAGTTATGTTAATAAATCTCTTAGAATGGGCTTCTGAGTTAACGTCATATAGAAAGTCTTATCCTAAATCACGTTTTGAGGTTTGGTGAAGTCCACTTGGAAGAAAAGTAGATTGGATTCTAAAGAGCTGCCCAGGCCAGCAGAGGTCATCAGTAGCTGCCTAACATCTTCTGTTTCATATCCTTCAAGCTATCTTAAAATGACACTCAAAAAGCATTGCTGGAAAATAGTCTCTTCTGCCTCCCACACAAAACAGAGGTAGTTTCATAAACTGCAAAAAGGGAGCTAGCAAGAAAGCTTCTGTACACAGCTTCTCTACAAGTCAGCATGCCTGCTTTTATCCAATATCACACACGGTGTGCGCCTGACACTCTCCGCTACAAACTGTATCTATTCTCCAACTCCAAAGACAGTGCAGCAGGGTGTTTTCTCTCTCTCTCTCTCTCTCTCTTTTTCTTTTCTTTTCTTGTTTCATGGGGTCGTCTTTATCCCCAAACCACATCTGTCTTGAGTTTCTCTCAGATTAGTCAGGTGGATC